ATGGTATGGTATTTAGTTAAATCTCTAAAAAAAAAAACATAAAATACCATTATTTGAGAATTCATTCTCCAAATGTAGTTCACATATATCTCTTTTCTATTGTCTCCAAGACTGCCATCTGGTGGACAGGAGGGGGTATACACATCTCAGTTAGTGTTGAAGTCCTTGTTCAGTTATCATCAAGATCATTTAGTCCTTGCAGATGATGTAAAATACTGGGAACCTGCTGGAAAGGCAAATTTTTTGCTCTATCAGAGACCATAGAAGAAAATGAAGGACACAGAAATTCTCCAGATGATTACAATACATAAGAAGGTGTAAAAACAACTATGGTAGCCCATGCCTTTAGTCCCAGCACTGGGGAGGCAGAGTAGGCAAATCTTTAATTTCTGGCTAGCCTGGTTTACAGAGTGACTTACAGACCAGCTAGAACAAACAAAGAAACAATAAAATACTACCATCTTAGAATGATGCAAGTTTCAGAAACTTTGTTGCAATTATCCAATAACGTAATTACAAGCTTACAAAATCACACACCTCTACAAGGAACTGTTGAAGCCAGATAAAGGGATAAAAGAAGGGCTGAGAGACAGCCCTGGCAGCTTCCAGGATGTGGGGTAGACAGTCAATTGAGTAATCCGGTGAACTGATAGAAAACAGTGACACGATATACTAAGTTGTGAAGTGAAAACTCCAGAAAAGAGGGCTTCCAGCAAGACTAGGAAGGAAAGAAAGCACACATAAAAGGACACCAGCTGCTCACAAGATGAAATATAAATTGGATTTTTAGGTTGCATTTTCTGTGACATAAAGCAGAAACATCCAACAACAAATGAAGAAGACCCTGAAGCCTAAAAGTTAGGACTGAGGATAGATCAATGGGTGACTCAAAGAGACAACTACAGAGGCACTAGACCCTCAACCTGTCTGTAAGAAATAACCCTAGTTTGTGAGTGTTTTGTTATAGTTTTGTTCCTATTTAGTCAAATTATTTTTAAACCACAAACATTTTTAAAATCAAGAGATGTTGCCTAAGCTGCAGTTTTCCAGCTTTTCTAGAAAATAAAATAAAATGTTTAAAAGCCACCTGCTAGTTGTTGGAATAGTGGATCTATCTACATTTTACTAATCACATCAATCCACAGCTGAAGCTGCCTCTGTATCGAAGAGCCTTCTCCCTCACCCAACAGTTCCCTGCTGGTCCCCACTGCTGTCATGTAGTGACCACCCTGAATGCTTATGCTGTTTCGGTTTGTGTCTCCTGGCACACAAAACAAAAGTATAGCACAGCCTCAAAGAGGGCACCTTTGTCCAACTAGCAGTGAAGGATGGAGGCAGCAAACAACAGGAACCAAACAAAGTAGTTAGGCAGAGAACAGCAGCAATCTTTTGACAGTTAACATCCTACTTATACTTTTTTCTTGAAAACACCAAGGTCAGTAAATAAATATGACTTTGTCTTAAGTATTTATTACTTAAGGATTGGTAAGGATGCCTGGTCCATGCTGCCTACAGGATAACCAGTGCCCAGAACAATGCCTCCAAGCACTACACGAGAGTCTTTTAGTCAGAGAATAAACTGGGATTCAAATCCTTGAGATCCAGACTAGCAAAGTTCTCTTTTATTTAATACCACTACCAGGAAGATTCTTATGAGAGCTTCTAAGCAGATGAGCTGCTGGCACTAAGGTAAAATTCATTAAGGTTAATCCAGCAGTCACACCCAGAACTTACTCAAGCTAGACGCAGTAAGCCCATCAAGTTTCTCCAAAATGAACAAGTGCTAAACTGAGGGTGTTGTATAAATTTGAGTCTGAAAGAAGAAATAGGTTTGGGGGTGTTGGAGAATATGGATGACCTTAGGACTCTAAGACCTACCAAAAAGATGCATATATATATATATATATATATATGTATATGTATATATATTTATATATATATATATATATATTTATGATTATAGCTGCATCACTCACAAAAGCAAAAATATATAAATAAATAAATAAAATCAGAAGTAGCCTAGAGAGCCATCAACAGCTCAGATAAAGAAAATTGGAAATTGCAGCACACGGACACAATAGAATTTTATAGCAAGAAATAAAACCATGACATTTGTGGGGGAAATGGGAACTGGGAGTTACTATGTGTCTTAGGGTTTCTATTGCTGTGTTGAAACACCATAACTAAAAGCAACTTGGGGAAGAGAAGGTTTGTTTGGCTTACACTTCCGTATCAGTGTTCATCTCTAAAGGAAATCAGGGTAGGAACTCAAACTGTGCAAGAAACTGGAGGCAAGAGCTGATGCAGGGGCATAAAAGAGTGCTGTCTACTGGCTTGTTCCTCATGGCTTATTCAGCCTGCTTTCTTGTAACACCCAAGACCATTGGCCCAGAAATGGCACTACCCACAATGAGCCAGGCCCTCCCATATAGATCACTAATTAAGAAAAGCCCTACAGGATTACCTACCCTATTTTTTGGAGGCATTTCTCAATTGGTGATCCCCACTCCCCTGAGATGATTATAGCTAGTATCAGGTTGACATAAAAACTAGCCAGCACACTGTGTTAAGCAAAGCATCCCAGATTCCGACAAATCCAACATGTTTTCTCTCATATGTGGATGCTACATATATAGATATAAATCATAATGATGGAACCTACAGAGACAGCTGACCTGAGTTCTTAGGAGCTCATGGGTTCTGGTCCAACAGGTAGGAAGCCGCATGGGGCCAACCTGGGCCCTTTGCATGCGTGTGACAATTGTGTAGTTTGGTCTCTGTTCCTGGGGCTCCTAGAAGAAGGATCAGGACCTGTCCCTGGCACTTAAGCTGGCTTTTGGGGACCTATTCCCCATGCTGGGATGCCTTACCCAGCCTTAATGCATGGGGAGGAGCTTGGTCCTGCCTCTAATTGGTGTGCCATGCTTTGTTGATGCCCATGGGAGGCCTGCCCCTTTCTGAAAGGAAACAGAGGAATGGATGGGGAGGGGGTAGATTAGAGGTGGGGGAAGGAGGAAAATAAGAGGAGAGGAGGGAGGGGAAACTGTGGTGGGTATATAAAATAAATGAAAAAAATTAATTAAAAAGAGTAGGTTATAAAACCAAAAACAGGACCATGAGGGCAGAAGAGAAGACTGCAAGAGGGTAAGGAGGGCTGACAGTAAAAGAACAAAGTGACCTGAAAGCAGGAGAGATAAAGGGAGTGGAAGAAGAGGACTTATGGGCAGGAGGGTGACAGGAGCCAGGGGAGGAGAAAGGGAAGAGATGAGAATCAACAACAAAACAGTATTACAGAATGGCCATAATGAATCTCATTACTTAGTATGCTGACACAGTGTGTGTGTGTGTGTGTGTGTGTGTGTGTGTGTGTGTGTGTGTATGCATGCAGTGGCAAAGATCATTTAGAAATCTAGTGTACAAATAATTGCTCATATTTGAAGTGCAATTGAAGCATTCAGCCCAGGGCTCAGCATAAATCAGGTTATACAATACATTTGAGAGTTGTCTTCAAAGAAATGGTGTGGGGATAAAGAAAACTGCCTAAAAGCTATTGGCACTGCAGTGGAAAAGTGGTGGTAGGGACATACAACAACAGCACCTTTGTAACCAAGTGAGGAGGCCAAAGTTCAAGGGCATTGTTCAGTAAAGTAAAGCAAGGCACACAAGCTCTTTTCCCTCCAGAAACACTCTCAGATCCCCTCACACATTTGCAGAGTATGCTTCTCTTTGACTGCATGACCTTGGCTCCAATCCCTTTTGCTAGGGTAATACCATTCCAGGACTGGATCTAGAAAGGGAACCTGGAATCAATACTGCCCAGTTTGGTCCTGGCTTGATCTAATCAGTTTACATGTAGAAATGCGGAGTGAAATAGGGGCAAGCTCAACTAGGTAATGACAGACTCTTTCAACCTGAAGTTAACTTTGTTAACATCCATGTCTTTGCAACGCAACTCTTCAATGTGTAACAAATATTTGATAATTACATCCTTGGATACAATGTTAGGTGCTCTCCTCCTAAACAGCACTATCCTTAAGATTTGTTTTTAATTATGTGTATATACGTTCATGCCCATGTGAGTACAGGTATCGTGTGAGTCCAAAAGAGACTGTCAGATTCCTTAGAGCTGGAGTTACAGGTAGTTGCGAGCAACACAGGGAACCCCAATCCTCTAAGCTTGTCTTTAAGAGCAGTACAGGCTCTTAAACTGCTGAGCTGTCTCTCTAGCACCAACAGTGGATATTCATTTAGACCAAAGAAACATTCCCATGCCTTTGCAGGAACCTTCCAAAACAAACAGTGAGGCATAAGGAACCTGGAGCGGAACAAAGGTGAGTTCCACTCTTGATGTGCTCCTAGACCACACATATGTCTAACAGTAAACATCTCAGCACCAAAAAAGACTTCTGTGAAGCGTTTCACCGGGACAATTAAAGTTTTTGTGTATGGCAATGGGGACAAAGCACTGCACAAGCCAAAGCTCCTGGAATGAGGGCTACCACATTCCCTCTGCAGACATGGGGTGGCAGTGAGAAGCACTTTTTAAAAGTTGGTACTTAGATTTGTGCTCCCGCCAAGCAAGTTAAATGGCTACGATTTTGTTCTGCAAACACCTGCGCTGCTAGTGCAGTTGGCTGAAAAGCTAACCAAGTTCCTCTACCCGGAGCCCAGGTGCACAACCGTCAGACCTGTGTGACCAGACAAAATATCCCACGGTAAATTAGGTGACACGTCCCCAAACTGCACCCAGCTCCAAGAAAGAAAATAAATAGAAGCCAAAAGGGAAGAAATATCGGGCTAGGTCAAGGCTAAATACAAGACAGAGAGCAGAAAATGAAGATGTTTTTACAAAGAAGGTGCTAGAGAGCAAACTCGGGTCAGAGGGCTGCCCTCCAAGGGCGACCAACCTGCGAGGCCTGCGGTGGACACTCGCGAGCCTTCTCTCCGGGCGAGAGCAGACGGCGAGCCGGCCCTCAGCCACTGGTTCGCTCAATAACTCCCCTCGACAGGAGCCGCCACACATCCTGCTGTCCCATGGTCTAATAACCCAGAGCTACAGCAGAGCGGTACGACGCCGCAGACTGCACACGTCAGACCCGCCCACCGCCGACCAGAGGCGAGGAGAGCCGCGAAGGGCCTCGGGCAACGACTACGAGTCCTCCGGAGGGCCAGAGCGGCCCACAACCTGCACTTCCGCTGTGCTCCGCTTCGGGCGGGGCAAAACAAGAGGAAATAAAAAGAGTGAAGGGCGGGGCCAGGGCGGGGGCGAGGCGGGGCCAGGAACCGGGTACCGTTGGGACGGGCCCAGTCCTAAAGGGCGGGGACTAGGGCGGGGTAGGGGAAGCAGGGGAGGAGCCAATGCGAAGGCGGAGAGAGCTGAAGTAGGTAGCCGAAGCACAGAGAAAAGGATGAAAAGAGTTTGCTCCCTAGAGGCCGTCTTGGGAAATGCCCAGCCGGTCATCTAGGTTTGGCCTTCAAGTTTGGCCAAAAGGAAATGATTGATCTGAACGAGTTTTCATTTTTAAATGAAAAGGTAAGTTTAAACCAGACCTGATGATGTACTCCTATAATCCCAGCACTCAGAAAGCTGAGGCAGGAGATGAACGGTCACCAGTTGCAGGCCACCCTGGACTATATAGCAAGACCGTACCTCAGAAAAATAAGTAAATTTAGTGTTCTTCGAGAATCGGATGAAATACATTTCATGTCGAGGAGAGCTCGGCGTCGTTTAGTACTCACTCTACGAAGCTGAACTTGCTTTGAAATATTTCTAATTGTCTTGGGAAAGTTAGCGATCCCTCAGTCTTCCTCTGACAGACGAACATATCTGATTAAGAGACTGTGCTCACCAACTAAACTAGAAATCGCTCTTATCAGAGAAAGCATACCTACACCAGAAAGCAGCCCGTTAAATAAAACCCTTACTTATCTGCCTGCCACTGTTGAGTCGCCTCTAGACCCACCAAAGATGGCCAGCTGTAAGCATTGCATCACCAAGTATTGACATTTTAATACGAACTGAGAGAAATTAAAGGCGTGTATGTGTGCATGTGTGTGTGTGTGCGCGCGCGCGCGCGCGTGTGTGTGCGCGTGTGCGTGTGCGTGTGTATGTGTGTGTGTTGGGATGAACAGCGAGCATTCCATAAGCACTCATCCACTATATCTTATTCTTAGTCTTTGGCATTTAGGAGACATACTAATGATATTTGACCAGAAATTATCTTTCTGGCCTGGGTTAAATATAGTAATACCCAGAGAACAGAGGAAGCCAGCAGGCACTGTAAAAGCAGAAGACAGAAGACACAAGGAATTCCTGACCTGCAATTAGTCCTCAAAGGTACGAGGGTCAACATTTGACTTCACCACCAAAGGTATCATGTACCATTGTTTGGAAAAGAATGAATGTGTTAGCCTATCCAGGGAGTGTTAGTGGAAAGACAAGCGTTCCTTCTCTAACCAGTGCCAAGTCATCCTTTTCCTGACTCCATGTGAATGGGGCCTGTGCTTCACAGTCTTCATGTTTAGAAGACCCTGTTTTGACTTAATACCCTGCTATTAAATGTTTTCATTTTGTTTATTAATTTATTTGTTGTGTGTACCTATGCACATCCAAGCTCAATGGCGTATATACAGAAGTCAAAGGGCAACTTGCAGAAATTGGTTCTCTCCTTCCACTATGTGGGTCTCAGGGACAGAACTCAATTTGTCAGGCTTGGAGGCAAGTGCCTTTACCCACATGCAGAAGCTGCCTCCTGCCAAAGCAAGGGGTCCTAGAGAGACAAGAACTAACACAGAAGCCACAGTGATCTTACAACCTAATCTTAGAAGCGAGTCACTATGGCTTATTCTATTGGCCACACAAGGCAGCCCTGAGCCTGTTTGGAAACTGGTTATTACACTTGTTTCTTTTTTGTTTTGTTTCTTTTCTACTTGCCAATCAACCATTAAAACATCTCAATCATTTCATTGAAAGATCTCCCAAATTCCCTTGCTCTACACCCCACACTGCTGTGCTAATCACCCCCTGTAATTCATTCCAAGTCATACCTCCCACCCCCAACCCACCCCTGCTTCAGGCACCACTCAGTCCACACAACCAGTTAAGATATCAAGTTTTGTTTATTATTCAGATACTAAATAATCTCACAGTTGTGTGTACCTATTTTGCTAAGACTAGACACATGGGGATATTAAGCCATTGAAATGCAGCTAATTCCACTGAGGAAACAAAATTCTTAAATTTTGAATTCAAACTGAAAGCTGTATGAAAAATATACTTAGTTCAAGCTAACATGACAGTATTTTAGATAACCTGACAGTATTTTAGATATGCTGAATTAAGGAAAATCTGTCATGAAAATTAACTTCACATGTCTCTTTTCATTCTTCAGAACATTTTAAATCATACATGTGACTTAAATTCTATCTGTATTAGCCAACAGTGGTCTATTCAATTCCATCTGACTGGCTTAGGGCCAAAAGAACCCAGGTTCCACCTCATTGTTATCTGTCCTTGTTTCCCATTTACTCTTCTTATTCTTGTGGCTCATATTCCTCCTGAGAAGTCCCTGCTCCCAGGTTACCTTTCTGTCCATCTGCCTTAGCTCACGTGTATCTTATATCACAAACGCTGCTCTGCTTTTACCTTCCTAGAGGTTATCCTGAAGTCTAGACCAGATCTTCCTGAATATCTTTATCCTAGCCTGCATTGAGCTTCCCTTTTCTGAATTTGAATTACACTTCTAATAAGTGTAGCCAACTGCTCCTTGACTATTGTTGGATGCTAATTCTCTCTGTGTGTGTGTTCATGCATGTGCAGGTGTATGTGTATTGATGAGTACAAAGCCACAGGTAAACCATAAATGTCATTCCTCAGCAGCTTTCCATCTTGGGACTTGCTGGGGTAGGCTGGTGAGTCTACCAGCCCCAGGATCTGTTTGTTCCTGACTCCCAAATCCTGGATTATAAACCTGCTATTTTCCCTATTGTCTTACATGGGTATTGGAGAGCACACTCAGGTCTGCAGGCTCAAATGGCAAACACCTTACCAACCAAGCTCTCTCTTCCAAGTCCCACTAATTTTCCTCCCCAAACTACAAATTTCAAGTGTCATTTAGCTGATTTACAAGATAATTGTACAGCGGAAAGGATTTGCATACCTGGTCTTCATCCCGAAGGCTGGGGATGGTATGTTAATAACCTGGTGATCTTTGCTACTCTGGAGAGCCAGACTTCACCCTAACTGCCTGATGCTGGGCATTGTTTCTCCATCAATTGAACCCCTTCTTATGGAAGAGGCCACGGGTACTTTGCAAATGAGTTTTGATGTAGCCATGCCTTTTGTTGTGTCACAGGGAAACTTCCCAAAGTTGTAATGTGTTCAAATATGTCAAAAATTGCCCGGAGTTGGAAGTTTGAACCAGCACAGTTAACTAGGCCGTGCTGATCTGGGTTTCCTTCTTGTCTCTCATAGTTCATTTCTCTGCCTGCAGGGACCCCCACAGCCAACCACAGCATTCACAGACTGTAGCCCCTGTGCATGAAGTCCACGAGAACCGGTAACAGTGATGGAGGCCTCTCCCTCTCCTTGTCTATCACAGGTATGTTTGGAAAACAGGCCTTGATTTAGTGGCTACCAATGACGACACTGAGCTCAATTTATTCTTTCCCAGAAAACATGCATACCATTCTTTTATGTCATAAGGTGAGAGGTATTGTAGTGTGACTCAACAGCACTCTCTTAAGAGGGTTGCCATTTTCTTATTCTACGTGTGTAGAGGAGCAACCTGATGGAGCCCAAGGTTCAGAGGTGCATGGGGCTGAGTAATGAAGTCTTCAGGTTCTTGCTCCTTCTTGCTTAGTATCTATGCAAGAAGGTACTAAGTATGTTAAATGAACCCTTCTATAATCAAAATGGTTAATATGTTGAAACACTTTTCTCTTTTTAATTGAAACTATTTTTCATGCAATATATTTGATCATGATTTCCTCTCCTCTAACTCCCCCCAGATCCTCTCCACCTCCCTACCAACCCAACTCCATGCCTTCTCTCTCTCTGTCTCTCTTTAGAAAACAAACAGGCAAACAAACAAAAAACAAATAAATCAGAATAAATAATAAACAAGCACACAAACAAAACCCATTAAAAACACAAAATCAAAACCCATAATATATAAGCAAAAGACCAATGAGACAAAAATTTTCCAAAGTAAGCAATATGAGACAAAAAGTCTACAAAAACACCATTGAGGTTGTTTTGTGTTGGCTATCTACTACTGGGGATGGGATCTGCCTTTAAGTGTGGTTTATATACTCAGTGAGGCTCCACTGAAGAAAACTAATTTTTCATTTGCAAGTAGATGTCAATTGGAGATAATGTCTCCTGTAGGCATGTGAGTTCATGTCCACTTCCCCCTCTTAATACTGGGACCCTGTCTGCTTTGAACCTATGCAGGCTCTGTGCATGCTGCCCTAGTTGTTGTGAGTTCATATATACTTCAGTCCTGTTGTGTTTAGAGGACACTGTTTCCTTGGTGGCATCCAACCACTCTGGCTCTTACACAGTCTTTCTACCTCCTCTTCTGCATACCTTCCTGAACCCCAAGGGGAAGGGTTTGATGACAACATCCCATTTAGGATTGAGTGTTTCAAAGTCTTGCACTTTCTTCACATTGTCCAGCTGTGGGTGTGTTAGTTCCCATCTACTGCAAGATGGAGCTTCTTTAATTATGATTGGGTGAGGCACTCATCCATGGGTATAAAGAATGCCCTTGGAGTCATTTTATTGCTGTGTTCCTTTTGCAGAACAATAGTATTTGGTTTTCCCCTAGGCCAATTGTCTATCTAGTCTCAGGTTCTTGGCCACCCAAATAGTGTCAGGTATAGGTTCCATCTCATGGAGTGGGCCTTAAATCCAGTCAGAGTGTGACTGGTTAATCCCATGACATTTGTGTCACTGTTGCACCATGCAGGCATGTCATCATTGATGACCACAGGGTTTATAGCTGGCTTGGCAGTTTCTTTTCTCTTCTGGCAGTGTGCAGAGTACCTTCTAGTACTGTGAAAACTAGTCAGGAGAGGCAAAGGCTCTAGTTAGGCACCAGTTCAACTTCTCTGTATTCAATGAGATAGGAAAGTGTGATGGGGAATGTCCTTCTGTGTATGTTTATCCTATTGGCTGTTAATAAAGTACTGT